CTCCAGAATCTACCTCAAATCCCCTGGATTTTAACGCAGGACCTGCTCCCAATCCCATGAATCTATTCTTAATCCCAGGATTTACCACCAATTCCACGGATTGGGGTATCCTCTCAATCCCATACATCTACTCAATCCCTGGGATTCACCACCAAACCCCAGTAATCTAGTCAATCCCTGACATTTACCCCCAATTCCTGGGTCTACTCCAAATCTCGGGAATCCACTTCCTTCAAAACCTACTTTTGACCTCTGGGATATTCCCCATCCCCAAGGATTTATCCCCACGTCCCTGGAACTACCCTCGAACCCTGTGATAACCCCAGAATTATTTAATTTGATTTGATTTATTGTAGTCACATGTACCTAACTACTGTGAAGAGTTTTGTTTTGCAAGCAGTACAGGCAGATCATGGCAAACAAGGACATACAGATCATAGGGTGCTTAGAGTGAGGCATACAAGGTTACAGCTGCACACTAGGTGTACAAAGCAAGATCAAGATTTAAGAGAATATTATTAGTAACTTTTACAGACTTAGAATTTAGGATTAAAAGTGCAGAACGGTTATAAGGAATGTGAGAATAGTGATCTGCTTTAGAGAGCTCGCGTAGAGTTGCCCTCTGTCAGTGCCATCTTGTTTAAGCCCCAATTTCCAGGATCTACACAACACTGAGACCTTCCACCAGACTCCAAAATCTACCCCAGATCATGGGATCTATTCACTGTTCCCAAAATCCAAGATCTAGCATCAGTCCCCTGGATCCATTCCTGATTCCCAGGATCTACCCCATATCCTGGGATTTACTGTCAAACCCCAAAATTTATTCTCAGACACCAGGATGTACTCCCATACCTGGCATTTCCCACCAAACCCTGGGATCTACTTCCCAGTTTCTGGGATTTACCTTCCAGACTCCAATGAATCCCCTAGACACCAGGGTTTCACCGTGGCACCAGTATTTACTCCCAAACACTGGGAATAGCCCAAAAACCCTGGGAACTACCCCCAAAATACAGGATTTATCCCAAACCCCTGGGCTTTATATCTGCAAAACCCAGGATTTACCCCTTCCAGGACCTTGGGATTTACTCCCACAAGCCCTAGTTTTGCCCCCAAATTGTAAAATCTGACTCCAACATTCACTATCAAACCCCAGGATTTATCCCAATGCTTGAGGATTCATCTGCAAAATCTAGACTGTACTACTCATCTTAAACCCCTGAATTATCTCCCGCTCCCTAACACATTAACCTACCCAGTGTTTTGTCGAATGAGTGTTGCAGCCCCTGGCTGATGCTGCGCTCTACATTACAGCATATGTAATGTATCTCACTGGTTAGACAGACATGCAGCTGTCCTGTTATCTGGAGTAATGCATGTTAGCTTAAATCTATTATCCAAGTGCGCAGTGCCTGAGAGGTTGCTGGTAAGGAGCTGTACTGTCAGTATTGGAAGACTCATAAAATGTTGAGGTTGTTGAAGTTGGTTGGCTTGCTGAGCTGGTTTCTTGTTTCGCAGACATTTCGTTACCATGCTTGGTAACATCCTCAGTGCATCCTCCGATGAAGCGTCGGTGTGTTTTCCCACCTGGTTTTTAAACTCTGGGGTCCATTGAGATGGATTGCCTCACTTCCGGGTTTCCTTCGTACTGGAATGTATATGGGGTCGAGTTCAATGTATTTATTAATAGCATGCTTCATGGAGTGCCATGCTTCTAGGAATTCTTGTGCCTGTCTCTGCCCAGCCTGTCCCAGGATCTTGGTGTTGTCCCAGTCGAAGTGATGGTTCTCCTTGTCCATGTGGATTGAGATGAGTGAGTATTGGTCGTGCCTTTTTGTAGCCAGTTGGTGTCCACGTACTCTTGTTGTTAGTTTCCTTCCTGTTTGTCTGATGTAGTGTTTCTTGTGTGCCACTCTGATGCCCAGCAGTCGTAGGAGTCTTCCAGGAAGCTCCCAATCAAGACTGGACAACTGACATGGAACGAGCCATTAACATCAGCCGACAGACGACAAGAACCAAGAAATGACAGATCCTGCAAGACAAGCTAGCCACACTTACCCACAAAAATGACAACAACATAACACCACAAGACTCCGACGACTGCTGGGCATCAGAGTGGCACACAGGCCCACGTCAACCCTACGACAACTGCTCACCCGAACCAAGGACCCACTCCCTGCCATGGACAGGACCAAAGTCATCTACAAGATCCCCTGCAGAGACTGTGAGAAACACTACATTGGACAAACAGGAAGGAAACTAACAACAAGAGTACGTGAACACCAACTAGCTACAAAAAGGCACGACCAATACTCACTCATCTCAATCCACATGGACAAGGAGAACCACCACTTCGACTGGGACAGCACCAAGATCCTGGTACAGGCTAGGCAGAGACAGGCACGAGAATTCCTGGAAGCATGGCACTCCACGAAGCATGCTATTAATAAATACATTGAACTCGACGCCCATATACATTCCAGTACGAAGGAAACCCGGAAGTGAGGCAGTCCGTCTCAACGGACCCCAGAGTTTAAAAACCAGGCGGGAAAACACACTGACGCTTCATCGGAGGCTGCACCGAGGATGTTATCAAGCATGGTAATGAAACATCTGCGAAACGAGAAACCAGCTCAGCGAGCCAACCAACCTCGATACCCACAACCCGAGCTACAAATCTGCTCCAAAACCTTAGAGACTCATAAAATGGCTAAATGCCCATGTTGGGAGTGCCTTACTTTGTGGTTTATTTGTGCTACTTCTTTTATTGCAGACTGTCTGCAGGTTCCAGGCCAGGGGTTGGTGGTGTCAAATCACGAATTGGAGACCAGTTCGCAAACTTGAACACGAGCTGGCCTATCACTGGCTTCCAAAGGACTTTTGATGCACGGCAGAAGATCGGCATCACAGATGCACGACAGCGGTTAACGATGCGAGATGCTCGAGAACGCCTGGGACAGAAGGATATGCGCTCCAAAATAACACCGAGCACTCCAAAGGTTCTCGATGCACGTGAAATGATCAACTCAAGGAAGGGCCAGGATGGAAATGAGAAAGCGCCAATTGTGAAAAAGGTGTTGGATGCCCGGGAGAGACTGAGCGCCAGGCGAAGTGCTCCAGCTGTGTCTACTGCTTCAACAGAAGGAACAGTCAGCACCGGAGGCAGGATAACTAAAACATTCCAAGTACCACAGGTGGAAACTTTTATCCTGCAGCCTTGGTATATTTGGCATATTGTGTCGATCCATCTCTTATCATGTGGTGTGTTCCTTACATGACTGTCAGTGCTGTTGGTCTGAGAGGCTGGTGACTGCCACAGGTATTGCTGGAGCTATTAGTGACAATGCACTGGCATTGCCGGATCAAATGGCAGTTGCGCACTGGCATCACTGGAACAATTGGTGATCATGCCAAGTGGCTATTCCTTCCCATGTCCCAATGCATTGCTCCAGCTAACACCATCAGGTTCCAAACTCTGCTTTTCCTCCCTCACTTTACCAGAGTGTTTATTTTAGTCAGAAATCCACTCCAAAGTTTATTCTGATTCCTTAAAAAAAGTTCTAAAGTTGCCTAAGTGGCATCAGTGCTGTGCTTTCGGAACCCAGTCCTACTGCCAACAATGGCAAGCAACCAAACAAGCTGGAGAAACTGGGGCTTCAGGCTTTAGAATTTTCCAATGAACATCTGATTTGAGTGTAATATCGCAGGGTTAGTATCCTGTCAGTACAGACTAATCAGTATCCAGCGTTACTCTATATTAAATATGAAGAAAGAGCAAACCAAGTAATGTTTTAACCTCCATAATTTGAATACATTCTGTTTCCACGGATAGAACAAAGCTTAAAGCATAAATTGATTTGGGAGAATGCATAGACCACATTCGACAGAGGTGGAATACTGGGTTCAATTTTGTTTTGCCTGTTATGGGAAAGCTGTTGTTAAACCTGAAAGGGTTCAGAAAGATTTACATGGATGTTTCTACTGGAGAGGGTGCAAAGGAGGTTCACTAGGTTGATTCCGGAGTTGAGGGGGTTGGCTTATGAGGAGAGACTGAGTAGATTGGGATTATATTCATTGGAATTCAGAAGATTGAAGGGGGGATCTTATAGAAACATATAAAATTATGAAGGGAATAGATAAGATAGAAGTAGAGAGGATGTTTCCACTGGCAAGTGAAGCTAGGACAAGAGGGCATAGCCTCAAGATTAGAGGGAGCAGATTTAGGACTGAACTGAGAAGGAATTTCTTCACCCAGAGGGTTGTTAATCTATGGAATTCCTTGCCCAGTGAAGTAGTTGACGCTACTTCAGTAACCGCATTTTAAAAAGCGGTTACTTTTTTTTTGAACAATAAAGGAATTAAGGGATACGGTGAGAACGCGGGTAAGTGGATCTGAGGATCAGCCATGATCTTATTGAATGGTGGAGCAGGCTCGAAAGGCCAGACGGCCTACTCCTGCTCCTAGTTCTTATGTTCTTATGTTATGTTCTTTCTAGGGTTGGAGGTTTTGAACTATAGGGAGACGCTGAATAGGTTCCAGCTATTTTCCCTGGAGTGAGAGGCTGAGGGGTGACCGAAAAGAGGTTTATAAAATCATGAGGGGCATGGATAGACTGAATAGCCAAGGTCTTTTTCCCAGGGGAGGGGAGTCCAAAACTAGTGGGCATATGTTTAGGGTGAGAGGGGAAAGATTTAAAGGGACCTAAGGGGCAACTTCTTAATGCAAGGGTGGTGCGTGTGTGGAATGTGCTGCCGGAGGAAGTGGTGTAGGCTGGTACAATTACAACATATAAAAGGCATCTGGATGGGTACCTGAATAGGATAGGTTTAAACGGGCCAAATGCTGGCAAATGGGATAAGATTAATTTAGGATATCTGGTCATCGTGGATAAGTTGGACCAAAGGTTCTGTTTCCGTGCTGTACAACTCGATGACTCTTTGAGTATGCCAGAGAGACAAGGATCAATTGCCGGGTGACAGCGTGGAAATGACCTCAACCCTGAAACTCTGTATAGCGTTGATTAGAAACTCACTATAGAGTCAACTCTTAAGTTACTGAGTTGAGAGATACACTGTTGCGTTGTTTTTCAGGGCAGTGCTGGGGGCAGTTCCAAGGAATTGACCAAGTGATAATGAAGAAGCAGCTGTATATTTTAAGCCAGGATGGTCATTGACATGGCGGTTGGGGATTCTTGCAGTTAGTGGTGTTCCCATATGTTTGCTGCCTTAGACCTTCTCAATGCAAGGTTGCAGGTTTGGAAGATGCTGCCGAAGGAGCCTTGGTGAGTTGTTGCAGTGTGTCATGCAGTTTTTACACATTATTGCAATTGTGCACAGTTGTAGGAGTTAATGTTGAAGGTGCCAATCAAGTGGGTTGCTTTGTCTTGGATGGCATTGAGTTTCCTCAGTTATGTTACATGAAATGGTGCAGATTGGTTGCTCTAATGTTATTCTCTTTGCAGGTGATTAGGGTGAGGATGATGTTGATTTTTGTCTAATAGATTGGATATGGAGTAATCCATCACTGTTGGAACTGGAACAGGCTTCATTTGAAGTGAGTTGGAACCAATGTTCTGGTGAATTGTATAATTAGAGTTGTATGTAGAGCTTTAAGTTAATTGGTATGGGGGCGGGGGAAGGTTCAATTCAAGCAAAGTTTAAAAAGTCAAAAACAAACTAGAGGGCAGAGGTGCGGGGCTGTGAAGTAGCAAATGATAATCAAAATGTCACAGGAAGGAACAGAAAATATAAGCAGCAGAAATTAGAAGCAAGGTAAGTAATAATGGTCAAAAGCCAAAGCTTAAGGCTATACAGCATTTATAACAAGAGGAGTTGATGGTACACATCGAAATAAATGAAAATGATTTGCTACCTATTACAGAGACTTGGTGACAGGGTGACCAGGACTGGGAACTCAATATTCAAGGATATTCGATGTTCTGGAAAAATAGAAAAAAGGAAAAGGAGGCATTGTAGCTTTATTAATAAAGAAATATCACTGTGGTGGCGAGTAGTGATGTAAGTGCGGTAGACTGTGATGTGGAATCAGTTTGGGTGGTAATAAGGAATAGCAGAGGAAAGAAGTCACAGGGTGGGAGTTGTTATAGCTCCCAAAGAGCTGCTTAATGTCGGATAAAAGTATAAATCAGGAAGTAATGAAGGGTTGTAAGAAGGGAACTGTACATTGACTGGACAAATGAGATGGACAAACATGATATGAAAAATGAATTTGTCAAGTGCATCAGGGATTGTTTCTTAGGGCAGTACATTGCAGAACTTAGCTGGGGAACAGACTCTTTTAGATCTAGTAATATGAAATGAGGGAGGATTAATGAGAGATCTTTGTAGGTATGGATTTTTTTGGGGGGTGTTGCAACCTCAACATGGCAGAATTTTAGATGCAGTTTGAGAGAGAATAACTCAAACTATGTCCACAATATAAATAACGATGGAAGAAGTAGTTGTCTAAAGTGAACTGGAAAAAAGACTAAGGTGAGGGTCTGTAGATGAGAAGGGGCAGACATTTTAACCAGACGTTCCATAATGCTGAGCAAAATTCTGGCCAAAAAAATGACTCAATGAGAAGGATGAACCACCCATGGTTAACAAAGGGAGTAACTGATCAAGAACTGTGGAATACAAAGTGGTGAAAGCTAGTGGTAGGCAAGATGATTAGGATTTTTTTAGGAACCAGCAGTGAGTGACTGAAAAGCTAGTTAGAAAGGGAGAACATTGATTATGAAGGTAAATTAGCAGGAAATGTAAAAGCAAACAACAAGAGATTGTACAGATATAGAAAAAGATCATGGGACCCTTGGAGGATGTGACTGGGGATTGACAGTAACAAACAGAGAAATGGCAGATAATTTAAACTAGTTCTGCATAACTGTAATTGCAGTGGTCTTCATGGTGGAGGATATTGTGAATATTCGTAAAGATATCAGATAAACAAGGTGCTAATGGGAGGTAAGATCTTAAAACAGACTCCATCACAAAGGACAAAGTATTTAACAAACTAATGGAACCAAAGGCAAACAAATTGCTGGAACCTGATAGCTTGCATTCAAGCGTTTTAGAGGAAGTAGCCGCAGAGATAGTGAGGCATTGGCTGAAATATTCCAGAACTCACTGGATTCTAGGAAGTTTCCAGCAGATAGGAAAACCACAAATGTGATTTGTGCCCGTTTCTGAGGAAGGGTCCTGATCCAAAGTGTCCCCAGTTTCTGAAGAAAGGTCCCGACCCGAAACGTCCCCGATTTCTGAAGACAGGTCTCGACCCGAAACATCAACTTTCCTACTCCTCTGATGCTGCCTGGCCTACTGTGTTATCATAAATGTGACATCCTTGTTCAAGAAGAGAGGGAGACAAAGTAGGAAAGTATAAGTCAGTCAGCCTAACGTCTGTCATTGCAAAAACGCTAGTATCCATTAAAGGAAGAAATAGAACATTTAGAAAAGCTGAGTGTTATCAAACAGAGTCAAACATGTTTTTGTGAAAGGGAAATCGTATTTGACAAACTTGATAGAGTTCTTTGAGGATATAACAAGGAGAGTTGATAAAGGGCAATAGATAGATGTAATGTATTTGGATTTCCAACAAGCCATATAAGAGGTCATGCAAGATAACAGCTCAATTATTGGGGTATTGTATTAGCATGGAGTAAGGATTGGCTAACCCACAGAAGACAGAGTCAGAATTAATAGGTCTGTTTCAGGTTGGAAAGACATAACAGTGCCACAAGGATCAGTCCTAGGGCTTCAATTTATTTACTATCTGTATTAGTGACTTGGAGGAGATGTGTAATGAGATCCTAATTTGCTGATGATACAAAAATAGGTGGGAAGGCATAAGGAATCTGCAGGGGGATATAGATAGATTGACTGAGTGGGAAAAGATCTTGGCAGATGGAGTTTCTTGTTGCAGTGTGTGAAGTCATGCACATGGGAAGAATCAAAGGGCAGACTATTATTTAACTGGAAGAGAGAGTCCAAAAAAGTACAACACAGAGAGATCTGGTTGTTCTTGTGCATGAAATGTTAGCATGCTGGAGTAGCAAGTAAGTAAAAACCCAAATTGAATTTTGGTCTTTATCGCTCAGGGGTTGAAGTTTGAAAACAGGAAAATTGTTAGAACTGTACAAGGTAATGGTGAGGTTACACTTGACATACTCTGTACGGTTTTAGTCCCCATATTTAAAAGAAAATATACCGGCTTTGGAGGCGATTGAAAAAATTCACTCGGCTTATTCTTGGAATTAACAGGTTGACTTATCAGGAACAGCTTAACAGATGACACCTTTATTCATGACAGTTTAGTAGCATGAGGGGTGATCTTATTGAAACATAGATTCTGAAGTCCTTAACAGGGTAGATGTTGCACAGATGTTTCCACTCATGGGGGATCCTCAAACTAGGGACCATTCATTTAAAACTGAGGTGCATTGGGCTTTTTCCTCACAAAGGGTAGTGAATGTCTGGAATTCTCTATCTCAGGGAGTTATGGAGGCTAGATCATTGAGTGTATTTAAAGAGGAAGTAGATAGATTGAAATATTGAGGGCCACGAGAAGCTTGCATGATTGAGGAGCTGAGGCGTGGGGTAGATCAGCCATGATTTTATAGAATGGTGCATCTAATGATGTCATTGGCATCAGGGCATCGAGAAGATGGAAGTTTTCAAATTTGAACCAAATCAGTTAAGAAGAAGGCTTGGAAACAGAGTGTGGAATTTAATTCCACCCTCCCAAGCTGGAAGTGGTTGTGAGGTGGTATGGTGAGAGGATTGTATCATGAGACAGGATGTTTAGGGTGGAAAGCTTTTCCAACTTCATGAACAAAAACAAAGTTGCTGGAAAAGCTCAGCAGGTCTGCAGCATCTGTGGAGGAGAAAACAGAGTTAACGTTTCGGGTCCGGTGACCCTTCCTCAGAACAGTTCTGAGGAA